CACGAGAGAAGCCTCAAGCATGACATGGCATGGTAGCTTTATGGCTCAACTGGGATTTTTTTAATGGCCCTATCAATTGACATAAATAAAACAACTGGTAGTATTTACATTACCTCCTGGGAATGGGACATGATGCCTACTAGACGTCATCCAAATCCAGATCCAAAAGTAGCAGGGGAGGTGAAGATATTTTGGGGTAAAAATGGGCAGCCAGCAAGAGTAGAGGGTGTTGACTTGGTTATACCTTTCCAAGCCATGTTGCTTCGTTCGCCCAACCTGAGCCAGGGAGAGGGTAATTTTAATTTTACTAAGACGGAGCTCTAACAACTGGCCGTAGCCGTATGGGAAAATATGGAAGATAGTAAGTGATAGGGAACAGTCAAATACCCTCTAGCTAGAAAATAATTAACATAAAGATTAATGGCGGGCGGGGATTTGAAGTTGTAGAAGCATTGGTAGTCCTGAACAAAACGACAGAATTTCGTAGTGAGCTTTCCCCCACCTCTCTAGACCTCTGTTGGTTTTCAAAGCAATCGAGTTTATACAAACAGTACGAAGGGTTCTATATACATGCTGATAGAATCTGAGGTTTTTTAGCATTGAAGGAGAGATTTTAATAGAGCTTATTAGGTTTCCAGAAGCTCGATGGTTCAAAGTTTTGATCTTCAATGTCAGTTTGTATATTTTGGTTACCAGGGGTGGCTGGATCTGTTGGCTGTAATGGAGAAGGCGTCCTCAGCTGGGATGGTGGCGTACATGGAAGATCCCCGTCAGGCTCAGACGGAGTCCTCAAACTTTGAGTTTCACCATCCAGCAGATGTATTGAGCTATCTCCCCAAGAAGATAAAGAGTCTAGGTCTATCGCTTCAGACGGAGGTTTCTTTGGTAGATTAAAAGGCGGCGGGGAGCCATAAAGTCGATACTGACGGCTGAATGCAGCGGAATAGCCTGCCAATTGCAGTGAAGGGACTTTCAGTGGCGTACCAGGACTCTCTGCGAGCGTTAGGTTGGAGCTTTGACATGCGAGCAATTTCTGGCTGCGCTGGTTCAAAGAACGTAGGACATTATCATTGCCCGCCTCACGGTCTGAGGCATAAGAACCACGGCGAGGTGGACGGTGTCGTGGGCGTGGTATTGTAAGATGGCTGGCATAGCCATAATCAGGCAGGCAACCATAAATAGCTGGGCGGGGTATATCCTCCACACTTGGCCAAGGGCGATTTGATATTTGGCCCAAGCTGGCCCGCCTCTTGATCTCTGTTTCCTTTGATGAAGGGGGAAGTTCTTCATGAGAACACTTTGGAGATGAGAGTATATTCGCTCCCCTCTTGCCGGCCTTGCCTGAACGGTAACATTTCCGCCAGGATGGCTCTTGGGTCAATGTCTTCCTTGACTTTGAATGTTGATTACGGTGCAGTTGAGCTTGCACGCGAATAGCGCTGGGAGGGTGGGAAGAAGAGGGGGATATATTGGTCTGATATGGTATTGGAGATGTTTCTGCCGCTTTTCGAAGTAAACCTTCGAGAGAGTATGACTTTTGTGGGTGTGTTCCAGTGTGTTCAACAGTGTTAGAAATGTATGCGTTATGAAACAGCATATCTTGCACTTTTGAGTCCATTTGGGAGGAGCCCGCGCTGATAGGACGCCTAAGCTGTCCAGAGACGCCGCCTGCCTGGCAAGGCTCTTTGGAATCACTTGATGGAATTTTTGAGTTTGTCTTAGAACACGTATAGTATGTAGTAGACTGCTCGCTTCCAGCAATACTGCTCCCAACCTCTGATAAGGCCCTTTTCCTGCTTAAATTGGGATTTCGAGGTCTTTGTTTGCTCCAACTAGTGGGAGAGACGGAGTGTCCAGGATCCGTTATTGAACATAGTGGCGCTTTATTTTTGATAGATATCGGGTTCCTTAACTGCTTATAGACAGTACGCTGTGGGGCTTTTGGCTGCGAAGGTGAAAAATACTTCGAGATAGTGTTCTGCTGACCTGGATGTAACGGATTCCTTTTGTCCAAGTCTGCGCAGTGGGGTATTGAGTCATGGCGAGTCTTTGAGTGAGAAGAGAGGAAGTTAAGCTCGGGGAAAGAGAGGTCTGGAACTGCTGATGAAGGCAATTAGCAGATAGTAATAAGACAGTAAGGCGGGAATATCTCACGTTCATTTCGTATAACCGGAGACGAAGCTCGACCGCGTCTAAAGAGGCCACCAGCAACTGCGCTAAGCTTCCCGCGGGCATTAGCAACGTAACTGGCACCACTTAGGTGGCTATTGTCCGTACCGTAAGCCGCTCTTGAGAAATATTTGGAGGTTTAAAATTATCTTTGATGGCTGTGCTTCCGGATTTCCGGCCAGATTCCAGCCGTTTTCCCCGACGATGGGTCTTGCTGGGTCTTCGCGCTGTTCTAGGCTCGTACCGATCTTCCCTTGTTTTACGCCTAGGCTGGCGCTGGTATCGTGGGTTTTTGCCCAGTCTGTCAGGGCTAGGGCTGCTGTGCACGCCCATCTTTGCCGATTTGCCCAGGCTAATACTACTCTGAGATTGGGATATATCGATGCCGCTAGTCAAAGGTTGGAAATTTTGTTAAAGGTTAACCTGGGTATATGTGAGCTTGTCAGCCCACACAAGTGAATAGCAGGTCAAGGCCGTAAGTCCAAGGTCAATTCGAGTATCTAGGGCGGTATAGGGTTGGTGTCTGCAAGAGTATGCCACTGAGTGGTGAGTAACTTAGTCGTCACTAGGCCAGGTGATAAGGTTAAACCCAAAAAGGGTAATTCGACGTCGTCTCAAAGGGGCAGCTTCCTCTTTGAAATGGAGATTGTGAGTGTCAAGTAGCTGGACCCCATTAGCATCTATACCACCAGCAGGAGCCTTCCCTCAATAAACTAGATGGATGGGTCCTAAAGTGGAAACATGTAGATTTGATCATATCTCTTGGGCTTGGTGCGGTCGTCAAGGTTGCTTAAACGGGAGGGATTTCAACGGTTAACAGTATTACATTTAAACCGCTAACGAAATACAGCACTATCAAAGAAACTCCCAAGATTAGAAATACGAGAGGCTAACAATGCCCTTTTCTCCAAGCATCGACACCAGTTCAGCCGAGGTGAGTATTTAGATACACAAAACTCAGTGAGGGAAGACCGTTTCTTTACCGGGTGTTGTCCTGACAAGTTCGTAACATCATGTTTTGTCCTTCAAGCCTTGCGACCTGAAGTTTGAGTTCGTCCCGTTCCCTGAGGGCATCCGCTAGCTGTTTCTCCAGACTACAGATTCGATCTTCCTTTCTTTTGCGAAATCTGCGAGCAGCCATGGTATTACGGTGCCGTTTCTCGTTGGCAATTTCCTCTGGAGAACGGTTATCATCATCTGCACGTGACCGTTTATGATTGCTGCTTGACTTGGTGGTTGAGCTTGAAGATGATTCAGGGCTGAGACCAATTTCAGGGACAGTGTTACTCCAAAATTCGGGTCTTATTGATGGAGTACGGGCCGAATTCCTTATTGTTGTTGTTGTTGTTGTTGTTGGGACAATAGCTGCATCAGGAATAGAGTCCTCGGGATTGCTGGCAAGGGGGATATCAAGGAGGCATGGATCAGAGTCTTTCATGGAGTGTAATGAGCCGTCCTTAGATCCTGGCGATTGAATGGGACTATGGTCGATGGGTGGTGTAAGGATCTGACTCTGGGAATTGCTTAGATCGAATTCCTCGGTAGAAAGCAGTGCTTGTAACGGGTCGTCGTAAAGCTCCCAACTCTGTGAGAGGTTTAAGAAATCCTGTCCTGTAGAAAGAGGGTATTGATCCTGGGCAAGGTATGTTGTGTGATCTGGAAAGAAAGCGGCAAAATGGTCTGGTGACGGAAAAGGGGAAGAAGAACCCGCAATCAGCGGAGCAAGCGAGGAAGAAGTAGGCGGAAAAGGCGAAAAATGGCTGCAGATACTTGTTGACGAGGACGAAGAAGGATGACTGAATGACGACTGAGAAGGAAGAGGCGCGCAGGTACCGAGTTTGCCGCAATCACGACGGCCACTTTGTAGCGGAGACAAGGCACGACTGGAAGAATCCGAGGGTCTGACGAACGCAGCCGGCTGATGCACAAGCAGTGGCCGACATGACGAGATGGTGGAGGGTTAACGGAGTTCTATCAAGGTGTAGCTGAGGGTCACAGCGCTTGGGGAGCCACGGCGTGGAGGCAGCAGCAGGGTAGGGGACGAGGACAGCGATGGGCGTCCGGCTTCCGGCCTTTATATAGTCGCCCTCGGGCCGCCCCACAAGGTACAGCTGAGCTAAACTGCTTAGTCATACCTTTAACGGGCCGAAGGAGCATGGAGCGAATGGCAGCCAATCAGATTAAGAAATTTTCCCCCACTAACCGGGGCGTTAATCTTGGCATTAACCTCGTAGCCAATAGGAGCCGCTTAAAATGAGTCATTCTTGCTCACAGTGAGAAAAGTCGAGAATTCGAGGGCGGCGAGACGAGAAGACGGAAACCTAGCCTTGTTTGTGTTTAGACGAGATTGACGATCAGCAACGCTTTTCAGCCCTGAGACAGACAGAGAGATGGTTTGGCCAGATGGAGGAGGCATGGGGGCGAGGTTCTGACGATGTCGACAAGTTTTGACTCCTTCATGACAGCTGGGAGTTCAGATCGGCAAGTGTGGTTTCTTCATTGCCCATGGATGGATAGATAACTAGTTTGGATGAGAGGATGCTTACTCTGTAGGTTTGACCGAGGCGAGGACTCTCCGTCGGCTTTTGGCGATGCAATAGCTACGCATCTACGCATCTACGCATCTACAGCCACTCAGTATGCCTAACTTGACCTGGGCTACGGCTCTGATATATATAATAGAGCTACGTTTGGACAGAGAGTTGAAGAAGCCAGCATGCCATGGACGATTACGCTAGAAGGCTCAGAATTACTCACAATTGCTCTTGCCAGGTTAACAGCCTCGAAGGGGAGCAATTACCAAGAGAACTAGGGTAATGAGACGATTGATGGCCAAGACATGGGCAAAGGCGTATGAAAAGATATCCATAAACTGTACGCCCCTAACATGTCCGTAAGCCCCTTTTAACGGGACTAACTGATCTGAGCGACAGACAGTTAATGTTCTACAAGCTCCCCTTACAAGTCAGGGCATGTACCGAGTATTCCTTTTCTGGTTATCAAGGTCAAGCGGTGGAGTTCGTTACCTCCCAAGAGAAATCCCAGATGTAACTCGAAGCTGCTGAAACAGCCAACTACCCAGCTAGCTAGTTAATTCACATAACGGGATAATAACTACTACCTGAAAGCGAAAGCCATTTTCCAGCCCTCATGCTTCGCAGGGGCCTTGCGGGGGGTGGAAAAATGGCCCGGGTTGCTGGACTTAAAACGGGACGGAAGGCCTGGGTACGTCTCTGCCAGGGCGTCTGAAGTCCTCGAGGAAGTCGAGAGACGGAAAAGAAAAAAAGGGCCGTCTCGGAAGAATATACTTCGGCACTTGCTCATCTTCTTCCGTCTCGCTGGAGCGGCCGGCGATCATGGAGGCTGCATGCGCCAAGCTCAACAGGAGCCTGCTTATCTTCGTGTCAGAGCGTGTGGAGTGGCAGGGGGGAAGCCAGCAGGCGCATCGTCCATGACATCCATCCACCCACTGCATCCCATCCAAAGCTGCTATCTGTCCACAGAGAGAGAGAGAGAGAGAGAGAGAGATGCCTGTATGTACACAGTACATGCACTGCGCTGCACTGCAGCCTCCTGTTCGAGCCAGCCAGTCCGCGTCCCCATCCCCGTTCCCCCCAGCCTATAGGGCAAAGAGAGATAGCGAACAAGATTTGTGATGGTCCAACCCTGGACTTGCCGACGGGCCAGTCAACAGGCCAGGACGGAGGGCTAGTGTGCAACCACTGCAGCGCTCTCTGAGGCTGTGGACGAGATGCTGGCTATCCAAGGCTGCCATCGCGGCGACCGACCGTCGAATGCTGGCCAGAACGCCGAAGCAGCGGCGCCAGGAGGAGCCATGGAGAGGAGATGAAGATGCGAGGGTGCCGCCTCTCAGACAGACGCAAAGTATCTATGGGGTAACTCGCTACCTCGCTGCAAGTTACTCCTGGCTACGCCGCTGCCCCCAGCTGGATGGCCTTTGGCGGAAGGGAAGACGGAGGAGGGCCCTTTGCTGTCCCGTCTCAGCCGTCATGCTGCCCTTATTCATATAACTACTAACTGGTTAGTTAGTTAACCCGAGGGAGCTCGCTGCTGGCGGCCGGCTGCTGCTTCTGGCTCTGGGCGGAGTAGTTGGGCGGTTTGGCTGCTGGATGCTGCTACGCCGGACTACGAACTCGCTGCCATGACAAAAAACCACCCGACTCGACCTCTGCTGTCATGTTGACCTGCTAGCTCATCCGTCCGTCTCGCACACAACAAAAAAAAGCCTTCTTTGCTTTTCGCATTTTTTACATCTTTTTTAGTCTTTTTTTTTTTTTTTTTTTTTTTTTTACTTCTTCCTTTTTCTTCTTCTTCTTTCTTCCTCCCCTCCTTTTCCTCTCTCTTTCTCTCTTCCCTCCCCTCTTCTCTTCCTCTTCTCTTCTTTCTTGAGTTGTTGCGTTCGTTCTTTGCAAAGGGAGGCAGCCGGATAGTCACTTTATCCTTCACTTCTTCTTATACTCACCTCCTCCTTCTCAGCCTCTGTTTTCCTTCTATCAACTAATCTTGCTCTGGCTATCCATCTCTACCCAGCTGTTGCGCGCCCTTTCTGTCCCGTCAAGCTTTTACGGCCTTCCAGCTTTTTTCTTCCTCGGCTTCTCCTCGTTGAAGAAACGCCCTGTTCACTGTCCATCAGCTCTGCTCTTCGTGATATCCATCTGTCTGCCTTAAAATATCAAGATGGCCCCTCCAAAACTGTTCATTGGGTTTGTTTAGTCTCTTTGCTTTTTCTTCTTCTTCTTCTTCTTCTTCTTCGCTTTATGCTTCACCTGCTAATAGTTACTCTCTTCGTCTTGGAAAAGTGGCCTCGCATGGCATACAACTGACGATACCCTGCGTGAAGGGTTTTCGAAGTTTGGTACCATCGAGGAAGCCGTTCGTTGCTCTCTTTATTATTCTATTTAATCCATCCATTGATCTGTCTAGTCGCCGGACACAGGATTGGTTATGCTTTGTAGATAGCTGATCTCCCATGTCCAGATTGTCGTCAAGGACCGTGATACCAACCGCAGCCGCGGCTTTGGCTTTGTTCGTTTCTCCAGCGACAGTGAGGCTGACGCCGCACTGAATGCGATGAACAACCAAGAGTATGCCCGCTGTTTCCCTTAGTAGAAGGACCTGCTCTATTTTACTGGCTTTCTTTTTGCTCACCGTCCACCAACAGGTTCGACGGCCGTGTCATTCGTGTCGACAAGGCGACTGAACGCTCTTCCGGCGGCGGTGGAGGCTATGGCCAGCGCCAGGGAGGCTACAACCGCTTTGACAACTCTGACCGCGGCGGCAGCTACAACCGCGGTGGCTACGGTAGGTGTAGATAAAAACACATGCCCTCAGAGTGAAGATCCGGTTTTTAACTGACTTACTTTGGGGCATCTAGGCGGTGGCTATGATTCCCGCCAAGGAGGTGGTAAGTTCTCTGTTTTCCACACTCCCAGCTTTGGGTCTGGTGTATATGGGCTCATACTAATTTGTCAATTACCTCCTACAGGCTGGGGTGGACAGCAGCAACAGCAGCAGCAGACGTACCATGGCCAGAACCAGGGAGGCAACGGAGGAATGTAACTCTCGCACTCTCCAGGCTAGTCAGCTAGCCCTAGGATGATGATGCCAACCTTTTCGCCTCGAACCTGCCCCAATTTTCTTACACTCTTTTCCCTCCATTTCATTTTCTTCTTTCTTCCCCTCTATTTATCCAATTTTCCAACCGATTCTCGACAGCGAAGTACGATAGTTCACGAAGAAGGGCCACGATGTTACGAATAACGAGTGAGACAGATACCTAGTTATGTACCAGATAACCTGACCCAACCAACGATCAATCAGCATCTATTTCATTCAGACCACCGGAACCTACATACCGCTCTAAAGGAGAAAAAAAAAAAATAAAATTACTCGACCAGATTATCTTGCTGCTGCTTTCGAGGATAGAAGGGTCTCTACATCTTTCACCACGTCTTTTTCTCCTTCCCATAGTCCCTTTAATCGACCATTTCCCTCCTGCCCAACCAATGTTTCCCCATAGTTTATGACTGCTCTTCAGAGATGGGGGATCTTTTTCAGATCCTTGGTTGCCCCTCAAGCACTGACACCATTTCCTTTCTATGAAAACATCTCCCCTATCTCTCAAAAGTAGGCTTACTACGAGACAAAAAAAAAAAAGACATCACCTTCTTTGCTCCTTTCGTTCCGCTTCTATGTTATGCCTATTTTTCAGATGCTTTCGAATGGCTGGCCACTCTTCTACAATCAATTCGCTAGTTTTGTATGATGAGCTTGCTACTTTGATCCCCCTGAGTTTAAACAGAAAAGAAAAAGGGGTTATCCCCCTGATTTCTCCCGAAATCTTAAATTGCTTCTAGGTATTCGGTCAGTCAAGGCAAACCTTACGCAACCAATATATGCGACGGCGGAGGAGCGCTAGACATGAGATGATCATTACTGAGACTCGAGTTCAGGTAACAAGTGTAGTTGAGATAACGTATGGTCAAAGCCTTGCTTTTTTATTTTATGTATATACATTTGATCTATCGACCCCACCAAACCCACTTCGCTTCTGTAGATAGGGTATGAGAAGTGTATAGGAGCCACAGGCGACACTCATGCATATAAAAAAGAAATGAGAGAGACAGATCTAAACTCTTAGCATATAAGCATGGCTGTCAGCCTCTTCGTTCCAGGGCCTTCACGCGCCGCACCAAGTCCGTGACGTGAACATCAGAAGAACCCAGTCCAAGGCCCTCGAGCGCGGTCTCAAGCGAATAGAGATAATCCTTGTTCTCTCCACTCAGGCCCCGGCTTGCATAAATCACTTCCGCAATGGCATCCGGCTCACGCAATGTTGGTTCACGCACAAACTGGGTGTTGCTCGGGAGCCCAATATAGACCAGGCATTTTCTCGGCTGCGAGCCAGCAGCAGGCTGGGCTTCATCATTCTTGAAACTTGAGCATGGATAAAAGGGAGTGTAGTGCACGCTGTAGCCATCTATCTCTCGGTCGTCCAGGTATGCACTCACTTCCTCTGCGTGTGAGGCAGGGATGTGGTATGCTGCGCCCCAGACTAGGGACCCGTCGGTAGTCCGTTCAAGATCTTGTTGCTGAGAATCGTTTAGTATGCAGCACATACATAGTTATGCTTCCTGGGGTGGCTGCAACCACCCTCCAGGCGTAATCCATCAAAGACCATCAGGAAGGGTCTCGGACTGACCGGATCAGAAAGGGACTCCCAAAACGAACGCTCGATAACTGTGACCACACGACCCGGTGCTTCTGGGGATCCACGATGATCCGTACTGAAAATGTGAAGGCATTTTCTCGTCAGTAATTGCTGTGGTTGGCTAGTGGTATTTGTTGTGCTAACTACAGGGTGAAGTGGCCGCACCTTGCCTATCGATCCAATTCGATACCAGTCAGTTCAACACCTAACCATCTTTTATCATTGAAACTCTGGATGCTTTGATTCCCAATAAAGCCTTACCTGCCAGAATCGACGAACGTAACCCTCGATATACCCGGCAACCCGCTGGTCTGAAGGAACCAGAAATATTAATAGGGCCGCTGTTCTCATAGGCGGAAAGTAGAGACGTACCGTAATGTGGCGGAGGTTTCCATATCAGGCTCCTAGGTGTGCCGTTAGTTATTAGTATGGAATGTCGCTTTAAAGGGCGCAATGGAAGGACAAGTCGTTTGACTGCGTTGACGAACCCGTAACCAAATACCCAGAGATCCCCGGCCGGGAAGTGGCTCTTCCATGATTGCAGCTCCGTAGACGCCATCACCGGCTGAGGGTCACCGCCTCTATATAAAAAGACCTTTCTGGCAGGCAGCGACAGCCAGGTAGTTAGAGAGCTCTTGAGTAGCTATAGCCGTTGGAGGACAGGCGGAGGCTATCTCTGACAACTGTGGCTTGCATCACAGCGTCGATGTCAATTCGCTACCACTGTCCCTCACTTGGTACTTCATTATCGGCCAACCGGCTCCGCACCGTTGGCTCCATCCTGGGGCGCCAATGGATGGATCTCAGCCGCTCCGGGCGTTGGAACATCGTTCTTCCACGGTTCTTTTCTATGGATGGATTCCAGTTAACTACGGAGTGCTTTAAGGTAACTTAGCTAATTAGTTGACTAATTAACGGGTTTACTCACTAGTTGACAGGTTAACTGGGTACGAGAGCGAGCGGGAGCCCACAGCGAAGATCACAATTGAGATGAGAGCGAAGCAGGCGAAAGAACAAGGGCTCGCAAAACGGCTGTCCAATCGACGAGTTGGCTGAGGCGAGAGAGCTCTGACAGATCCAAAGGACAGCTGGGACGCTGCCTCGTCGCCAGAGAACCCGCGAAGACCTCTGCGCCCTGCTCGTCCTGGCTCTAACTACTCAAGCAGTCCACCAGTTAACTAGTTAACTCTAACTAGCCGTAAGCTGCGTCTCTCGTTGACTTAGGTAACTAGAGTTAACTAACTAGCTGCCGGCCAGTCATTTGGTCAGTGACATTATGGAAAGAGAGAGATCACATGGGGACTCGACGTCGACCGCTGCAATAAAGACTTTTGCTCTTCTTAACTGCGATCTCGTTTGCTTCTACTCCAGCCTCGACTCCTCAGATAGTTACAGCTTCAGCTCCTTTGGTCGCTTGTTGAAGCATCTTCGGCTCTGCTGTCTTCCCGATAACTCGCGATTCCTGGACAGAAAGGCGTTTTTCTGCTTCAGCGAGGGGGGGGGCTACACCATTAGTTACAGCCAAAAGGACAAGGCCGTCGCATGAACGCCTCAAGGAACAGATAGCCATGGCTTATAAGGGAGCATACAACCCAGATGCGCTGCCAGCGTAAGTCCCTCTTGCGCCCATCTTGTCACTGCCTAGGGACAACGGGCTTGCTAACCTCTATACTGCGTGTCACCATGGTATTAGACACGCTGAGCCTGAACAGGTTTGTTTTGCCGAGTAAATGGCCCTCCTCGGGGGGAGATGAAAGCGAACCTTGCTAATGTGGAATGCAACTCCTCTGCGCACGGTTTAGGTGGCTCAAATGCTGGGTGCAATGCAACCGTCACAGTCTCAACACCCTGCTCACAGCTCGCGGCCCCAGGGCAACGCAGAACAACATTCACAGCGCCGTCCCTCAGGCAGCTATTCATTTCAACCCCCGCGACAGCACTATCCGGCGTCATCATTGCAGAACGGCCCTCCGCGAGTAGATCCGTACTATAACCAACATTCCAACCCGTCAATAGCAAACCGTCTTCACTCCCCGCCACCCCAGCACTATGGCTTTGGCCCTCGCCCCGTCCAGCCGGCTCAAAATCGGCCACCTCCCACCTCATACCCCCCACGGACTCCATTACCACCAAGTGCGGGAGGGGCAGCTCTACCGGCTTCTAACGAGCCACACGACCTGTTCCCACTATTTCGTGCGGCTAACGCATCAAACTCGGGTTCTCTCAGTGCATCTGAACTCGGTTCTGCGCTTGTAAATGGGGACTATACCTCGTTCAATCGTGATACCGTCACGATGATGATTCGCATGTTTGACCGGGACGGCAACGGCGCGGTAAGTTTCGACGAGTTTGTGGCTCTCTGGCGATTTTTAGCTGCATGGAGAGGATTATTTGACCGATTTGATGAAGATATGAGTGGGCGTATCAGTTTCCAGGAATTCAGCAAGGCGCTGGTGGCGTTCGGATACAAACTTAGCCACACATTTGTTCAGACTTTGTTCAACACATTTGAAAGCAAGGCCCAGCGGAATACAGCTTCGGTCCCTGGACGGACCGATGGAATGAGCTTCGATCTCTTCGTCCAGGCTTGTATAACTCTGAAGCGGATGACTGATGTTTTTAAGAGATACGACGATGATCGGGATGGATATATAACATTGAGTTTCGAAGAATTCCTGACAGGTATGACCGCTGGTTATTTGTCCATGTCCCTGGGCTTCCCTTTGGACGCATATTCACAGAACTAACCCTACCATGTCCAGAAATCTTACCACTTCGAGAATAAACGAACCATTTTAGATAGCCGGGAAAGTGGTAGCATTCTTGGGGTTACGCAGCTTTACTTGCATCATTATTCTTTGGTGTTTTTGCAGACATTGAACATCTTACATGTAGCTATGAAAAACGGATGAAACACGAACGCCCGAAAAAGGACATTGCATATGGAGTTAGATAATTATCGTATTATGAAATATATAAATAGGGGGAAAAATATATATATGAGCTATTAATTGTGCGACAGAAGGCTATAGGAGCCAAACTACTAACTACATGATGCAGATACCACTTGATCCTTTTTAGTCTGATAAGGAAGAATTTGACCAACGAAGTAGAAGGAGCGGGAGAGCATAACAAGCAATTATTTCATAACTTATATGCTCTCAATATGCTCGCTGAGGGGATTAATTGAATGAAACAAGTGGCGGTAGTTATGAAAATAAATACGAATCAACGGAGCGGTAAGAAGAAATCCATGGGCTGATAAAAAATGCATTGAAGAAAAAGGGTGATATTTTACGCGGTGAGATACTACCAGGAGAGCTAGTTATATAACTAGTTAGTTAGCTCGCGCAGCAAATAGCCCTTTTGTTTCCATAGTATATCATAGGGACATGAGTTTTTATTTCCATTATACACCCACTTTATTCATGGGGAGGTTTTCGTAAAAGAATTCTTTGAACTAGACTAATAGAGAGATTGTTCGCCATTTGAATGTAAGATCAGTAGATCACAGGCGGTTAGGTGTTGCTGTAAGCGGCCACTGGTAGCCTGCAGCATCGCTGAATTTATAACCGAAAGATGAGGTGAAGTCATCGAGGACAGCAGGTCCTCGAGAGCCTGTGTGACAAGAACGACTGTTAGAGAAGTCAGATAGAGGAGAGAGGCTGTACCTGCTTACCATAGGGGTACTCCATTGGCACAATTTCTTTGTTGTCGTCAAGATAGTGCAACAATGGGGTAAAGATCCTCCAGCTGGCATCAAGCTCGTCATCACGGACAAAGTTTGAATGATCCCCCTTGAGTGCATCCAGGATGAGGGATTCATAGGCTTCTGGGATCTTCAAGTCCGAGAATCGTCGACGGTATGTGAGGTCAAGCTCGGTGACGACAGTCTGCATTGAAAGCCCAGGGAGTTTTGAATTCATTTTGATATAAACCGATTCGTTGGGCTGCACACGAATGACCAGCTCGTTTCTGGGGATATCTTTAAATATACCGGAGGTGACATCGCGGAACTGGATGCGAATCTCTGTCTTTTGTTCATTGAGAGCTTCCAAAAAAGATCTAGTAAGTACAGATATAATTTAGAGCGGGTGATACACACGGGCAACAAACCTTTGCCAGCCTTTAGGATAAAGGGAACCCCGTCCCATCGCTCGTTCTTGATATATGCAACCATTGCACAAAAGGTAGCACATCTGGAGTCCTTAGGGACAGTCTCGTCTTCCTTGTATGCAGGCTTAGTGCCGTCTAGGGACTTTCCATACTGGCCGATGATGACGTTCTTGGGCTCGATCGCATCGATGCCCCTCAACACTCTCACTTTTTCATCACGGATGTCTTCTGCAGAGAACGATATTGGTCGCTCCATGGCAAGCAGGGTTAAAACTTGAAGAAGATCTAGCTCAAGACACAATTAGCGGACAGCCTACTGCTTGTAGCAGAAACGGATATCTGTTTGCATACGGTTCTGCATAACATCTCTGACAATTCCGAACTCATCAAAGTAGCCGCCACGGCCCTCAGTACCAAACGGCTCTTTAAACGTGATCTGCATAGTAGTAAAGAAGAGTCAGCGACCGATGCTCTTTTTCCCTGTCTGTTCAAGCTCAAATGGCAGAACAATAATAAAACGTACCTGGACGTTATCTATGTGGTGCCGGTTCCAGGTGGCACCGAAGAACTCATTTCCGAAACGTAGAATGAGGATATTTTTTACCATTTCCTTTCCAAGGTAGTGATCGATACGGAATATTTCATCCTCCCGCCAATTGGGTTCGAGAGCCCTCTGTAGCTCTCGGGAGCTACCTAAATCTTTTCCAAACGGCTTCTCGACCTGAACATGTCATCAACCATCATTTTGTGATGATATTAGCCATAGCTATCCTTTTAATTCAGAAGCTCAGGGAGCAGACCACTAACAATTATCCTCGTGATGCCATTTTCTGGGTAGCAGTTCTTCTTGAGGTGTTGGGAGACCGTGATGAACACGCTTGGCGGCAGGGCCATGTAGAAGACCCTGTTTTGCTCCTTTCGGCCCTTTTCTAATTCCTCCAGGTGGTTTTTAAGGGTGATGAAGGACTCATCCTGGTCATACTGCCCGGATATGTAGGAGCAGAGCTCGCAAAAACCATTCAGCTGCTCCTCGAGCTCCTTGGTAGGGACTTTGATATAGGACCGGATTCGTCGGACATACTCATCATGGTCCATCTTGGTGCGAGCATATCCGACGATCTTGATGTCTTTGGGCAGGAACTTGTTGCGATACTGCGGATGAGGGAGGGATGGTCAGAAATGAGGCTGGAGTTGTGACTGCTGGTTCCCGAGAGAGACGGAGAGACCACTTACCAGGCCAAAGAGCGCCGGGAACTAGTTAGTTGAAGAGAGAAGCGGCCGTTGTTAGCCCACGCCAAACCGGCAACGTCACTGGCGGCAGAGAAGCGAAGATACTCACAGTCTTCTTCTTTGCTAGGTCTCCCGAAGCACCCAGGACGACGATGACGGTGTCGTCCTTGAGCTCCATCGAACTACACACACAGCAAGGGACGTCATCATCAGCGCAGCCACCCAAAACAAAACAAAAAAAAAAAAAAAACCCAACAAAGCAATGGGCAGTTGTAGGGCGAAAAACGGCGTGCATCCTGATAGCCCACTTACCCGGGAGCTGTCTCGTTGTGTGTCATTGAGCCCGCCATGGTGTGTCGAGGCCGTGGTTGTCGCGGTTCAGCTTGCTAGCCGAGCTCGATAACTAACTAGTTGGATGACGGAGGGATGGCTGAGCAGAGCTGGCGGGGTGGTTTCTCTCGACTGGAACAGCCGGCGGGACCAGCGGGCGAAAAAGCAATTGAACTGCCCCACCGAGAGCAGCAGCAGGACGAGCAAAGAGCAGAGGTTCCTGGGACGGCGCTGGAGGAGAGCAGCCTGAGCGAGCGAGCGAGAGGGACGGACGGAGATGGGGAGTTAGTTGGCAGGGCGGACGAGGACTTGCAGACGAACGAGGGTCGAAAGGACCTGGGTCGACGGGGTTTCGGCGGCGGCGGCGGCGGCGGCGGCGGCGGGCGGAGCAAGCTGGATAATACAGATGGATGGATGAAGACGCAGCGTGGGTGAGGGATAACTATTGACTAGTTACTGGTTAACAAGATAGTTACTTGGTGGTCTTGCAGACATAGCTGTGGCCTTGATAAACTACGCAGGATGTCACTGGTGGTCTGGTCTATATAACTAGTTACATACGTACAGACAGTTGAGTTGCCCACACAGCTGGCAGCCGATCTCCTCTCCACTAACCCTCCTGCGAGTTAACTAGTTGACGCGCTCGGTATTATAGCTGGCTGGTCTGTCTATATGTATCACTGCCGGGTTGCTATGGGGCAGACAAATGGCTGACTGCCCTGCTCTCTCCTTAGGACTCCGTGCTGTAAGAGATGTGCTGTGCCAGCTACGGAACACGGAAGAGCACTCGCAGCATGGAAGCAATAACTTTGTAACTAACGAGTTATGGCCGGCGTATTGCTCGGCGACGGAGGCAAAGGAAGCATCGCTGGTGGCTGCCTGTGGGATGTGCTGGAACAGACCGACCAGACAGGCCCTGGCCCTGTATATATGTATATAACTATATATGTACGTACGTATGTATATATGGATGGATGGATGGATGTGAACCTACACTCCCCTGCCGCCCACGAACCCGTTTGCGAGTCGGACTCGATGTCCTGGCAGCTCGTTTCCTGGAGGATGACAGCTACTCCGTGCGTGGTTACAGGCCGGGATAGGATGATGACTAGTGATGAGAGCCATCGGAGGGTATTGTTAGGTGGAAGATGCTGCTATGATTCTCGTTCCAGACACTCGTCAGCCAGAGTGAGTTTCTATGCAAAGAACACGCTCGACATCGAAGACTAACCAGTGATCCTCATGGAGAAGAAGTTGGTTCCTGCGCCATCGCCCGCACAGCAAGAGAGCGCGTTCCCTCCTCTCTCTTTCTCTCGCTCTCTCAGCCCGTGGAGAGACGATTAGTAGCCGAAACTCCACGTGGAAGATGCAAGGGATCGTTATGGGATGCGGATGCCCACGCTCTCTCGCGGATCCATTGGGATGTCGCTGGCGGGAGAAATACGAGCCGAGCTGGCTAGTAAACCACCTGAGTTAACTAGTTAACTCTTTTCCCTCTGAAGGTGGAAATATTGAGCGACCAGCCAGACATGACAAGCTGCGAACTTCATCGCTGTTCAGCCATCGCAATCGAAGAGCAGGGGAAGAGCCATCTCTGCGGTCTAGCCTTATTTTATTTATTTATTTATTTATTTATTTTTTTTTAACGTCCGTGGGAGTAGGGCTGATATCGATGGCCAGCCTCTGCGCGCTGCAGAAAAGCCTCCGTTTCGCTGGTGTTGTCCGTCCGCCGGCCCAACCAGAGACAACACCACAAGCCTCCCATGCGAGACTACCTACTTTTGCTTCTTTCTTCTTCTTCTTCTTCTTCCTCTCTCTCTCTTTTTTTTTTTTTTCTTTTACCCTCCTCGGCGGAAGATGCCGTCTTTGAGCTCTGTTGAAGGCGGTCTGCTCGTATTGAACGGAGGTGTCTGGGAGACCCTCCACGATTGCGTTGTCTTTGGCCGTAGAGCCTCTGGTCGACTTAGGTCCTTGACTCAGGTAACTACTTAGTTACTCTACCACGAAAGACAGCTCTCTTCATTATCCGTGATGCCCACAGATATAGAAGAGAAGTTTAGATACCAGCTATCTAGCTGATGGGGACAGAGCATCTCGCCTCGACCGAGAGGTGCTTGGAAAAGAACGACATATCTTCGAGGCTTATGCATGGGTTTCGTGCCTAGCACGAGAGAGAAAAGCCCCCCCCTCCCCCATTCCTTGGAGGAACGTCCTTGTCCTTCGCGTCAAGTAGCTTTCTCAGCTAGCTTGCCTTAACTCTCTCCCTCTCCCTTCCCTGTTTCGCCAAAGCATTGCAGAGAACTTTTGCATGGTTTACAAAATGCTCCGTCGAGACGCCTGGGTTTCTCACGCTGCAGCAAAACACGATGATCTCATGCTTTCTATTCTTATCATACAGTCTTGACTATATATATATCGATATATATAAGAGGCGCCATGTTGCATCATTCTCCTTAGAATTCCCTTCTTCCTCTCTCGCTAGTCAACTTCGCTAGGGCCGGAAACCAAGCTCCGTCCAAACAAATACATACCAGTGCATGGTGCCCAACCTGTCCATTTGCCATCCACAAAAGACAGGCGTTGCTTTCTTTCGGTTCTACTCATTCACTGCAGGCCAGAGACCTAAACACGCACACACGCACACACACACACACATATATACGCAATTTAATCACGCAGCGCCTTGCCCATCCAGTGGCATATTCCGCCCTTCTTGGACGACTATACTCACCACAGCCGTTCATCCAAACCCAGAGTTAATTTCACCATGACTCGAGTGGTCGATGGAAGTGGAAGACGGGCCCTTCGGCCGGTCAGCATCGGACCCAGACCTCAACGGCCGATGAGCTTTACTTTCCCAGATTTCCCATTCAACCCAGAAAGCGATGTGTTCCCATACGCAGACCCGAACAAACGACTATCGTACTTCAAGTACCCTGACGTAGATCCAGTACCTCCACTACCAACCCTCTCTGCATCCCGGAATGGCAGCCAAGATACCATTGTCCCTCCCCCGTACGATAGTAGCGATGCAGAAAAGGCAGAGCCTCCGCCCGAAGCCCCGCCAAGCAAGATGAGCAGGCAGGAGATCGTTATCATCATGACAGCCTTATGTGTAAGACTCCTAAGAACAAAAGAACGAAGAAAAGTATGTATAAATGGGATCATTTCTAACTTGGCTTTGACGCACTGATATAGCTGGCCTTGTTTCTTGCTGCCCTCGATATGGTTAGTTTATCCATGATTCTCCCATCCATGAACGCAATAACTTTCTAATGCTCTCTCCAGACAATTATCTCTACCTCTCTTCCCACAATTTCAAAAGTGTTCAATGCCAATGAGAGCGGGTATACATGGATGGCCTCATCTTATCTTTTAGCAAACGCCTCATGCGTCCCCCTTTGGGGAAAGCTCAGTGACATCTGGGGTCGCAAAGTTCTCATACTAGCAGCCAATGTCCTATTCCTTGTTGGAAGTTTACTCTGCGGAATCGCACCAGGATTGGCCATTTTCCTGGTTGGAAGAGGTATCCAGGGAATTGGAGGAGGCGGCCTGATCATTTTAGGACAAATCTGCGTTAGTGATCTGTTTAGCGCGAGGTATATGATCCCCTGGCTCCGACAGTCACAATATAGATTTTTACTAACGTGATGCAATTTATAGAGAGCGCCCTGTTTACTATGCTCTCTTCGGAGCTACATGGGCTGTTGCTGGGGCACTTGGACCGGTGATAGGTGGACTACTGACTCAAAATACTTCCTGGCGCTGGTGTTTCTACATTAACTGTAAGTGTTATAAGCACCGATTCTTCAAATGATACAAAGAATACCTTTCTTTGCATAATCGATACTAACACGCCAACTTGGATTATTAGTACCCGTTGGCGGCATATGCTTCGTGATTCTCTTCTTTTTCCTGAAGATAGAATCTCCAAAAACACCACTCCTTGCCGGATTGCGTGTTATTGACTGGCTTGGAACCGTCACTATTGTTGGAGGAACAGTCATGCTACTCTTCGGCCTAGAGTTTGGTGGCGTTAGTTTCCCATGGAATTCCCCAACAACCATCGGACTAATTATCGGTGGTATTGTTGTTTTGGGAATATTCGGTATGGTTGAAAGGTATTATGCAAAATACCCAATCATGCCCCCTGCTGTTTTCGATGGTATAAATAACATCCTTATCTTGGGAGTTAACTGGGTCCATGCATCTTTATTCATCTCCGGTGCATACTTCCTTCCCATTTACTTCCAGATTGTCCTTGGTGTCGGCCCAACACTGAGCGGAGTCTATATTTTACCACAGGTAATGGGGCTTTCAGTTGTTGCAATGCTGACAGGGATGTTCATCCGAAACACGGGCAAATATGTCTGGATTATGCGTATCAGCATGTTGATAACGACTTTGGGATATGGCTTATTTTTGGATTTCCAGTCCTACACGTCCTGGCCTCGACTTATTATATACCAGCTTATTTCCGGCATTGGTATCGGTCCCAACTTTCAGGCCCCTCTGATTGCCATCCAGAACAACATGCCACCCGGAGATGTATCCGGAGCTACCTCGACGTTTGGTTTTATGCGCCAGCTTGCTACATCGTCGTCCATCGTCCTTGGTAGTGTGGTGTACCAGAACATCATCAATGGCAAAGAAGCGTATCTTACTGAAGTTTTGGGCCCGGAATTAGCTCCTAAATTCCTTGGGAGCATTGCTGGAGCGAATATTGACTTAATCCACCAGCTGACTCAGTCTCAAAAAGATATCGTGCTGAGTGAATATACCACTGCACTCAAACGGGCTTGGTTGTTTTACACCGCTCTTAGTGCGATTGGGTGTGTTTTCAGTTTCTTTGTCCGGGAAAAGGCTTTAAACCAGAATCATGAAGTGACCAAAACGGGACTCGAGGAGCAGGAGCGCGCTCGACTGGCTCGCATTGCTGCTGCTAAGAAACCTGAAGACAGGCAGACAGAATGGCCCGGTAGTAAGTCAAGAAAGCCTCAGTAATGGGGGCAGAATCAAGCTACACACTGTTTCTATGACACCCTTGATAACGTTGCTATCCTTCTGCTTATTTGGTCTGTTAAATTGCAAACATGCATTGGTTGGCGGTAACTTTTGTTTCTTGATTTGTATAGACGTTTTGCTACGGATATTCAGCATATTCCATTCAGACAGCGATGATAATGTACCTTTCTGTTTATATTTGTATGTATATTAATATCCTCGACCCTTGTTTCTGGCGTCGTTGTTTGACGTCAATATTGTTAGACTAACTACGTTTCAGAAAATGGTTAGTTATATAATCGCTCGCTAACTAGCTAAGTTCTTCACTGGGAGCTTCCTCTTTTATTTAACCAGCCTCAGTAATGATGACAAATTAGCAAACGAGGGGTTTACCCGATCTTCTGGTTCTTGTCAATCTCAAGTCTCCCTGGCTAGTTTGACACAGTTGAAGATAAGATGGGACGTGCGGCGTCATGGATAGGCAGTCCCTCAGTCAAAGGCAAAACAGAAGCAGTTCGTATGGCAATGCTAACTGCTGGTCTGGCTGGATTGCAGTACGTTACCCCGTTGAATCCTCTTCCCCTGGTAATATCCCTATATTCCAGGATTTGCGCTCTGTTAGAAATTGAAGCTCTGTTGATATCACCAATGCAAGCTGTTCTCTGTACACTAGCTGATCCCTCTGTTAAACCTCGGTCGGCATTCTAGGTTTACATGGAGCATTAAGATGACATGTAATTTATGCCCTTTCCTCACTATTTTCAAGTCACTTTGACTATCGTGCTGAATTGTTTGGGAGGGCAGATTTCACTCCATATCTTCTAAAGCTCGGATTCACGAGATCAAGTGTCTCTCTGGTATGGATGGCAACTCCTTCATTAGGATTGATGCAACCATTAATTGGGGCGCTTTCAGACCATTCAAAATCCAAATGGGGACGACGGCGGCCTTTCATTATTTGTGGACCAATTTTTGCATGTATATGCTTCCTTTTACTCGGTTGGGCCACGGAATTTATAGGACTCTTCATTACAGATGAGAAAACCGTTAAGTTTCTTGACCGATTGCTCCCCCTAACTTGTTCATACTAACGAGTTTCTAGAAACACAACTTTATAATTGTGATGGCTGTTTTCAGTATACTGGTAGTTGATTTTTCAGTTAATGCTTGCATGATAACACCCTCCCCCCCACCCCCCCAGAAAAAAAAAAAAAAAAGGTACTTACGAGGTTCTAATTATTTCTCAGTACATAACTGCTGCCGTAGCTTGATTATTGATACTTTGCCCATCCCACAGCAACAGCTCAGCTCCGCTTGGGGTAAGTCCGTCCTCTCCCATAGTTCTCGAGTTGTTTCTAATTATAAAAGCCAGCAGGATGATGGCTGCTGGCCATCTAGCTGGCAATGCTATCGGAGTAATTGAAACTCCAAGAATTCTTGGACCTTACTTGAGAGATACCCAGTTCAAGCAGATTATGGCAATAGCTTCCGCGCTGCTGCTATTTTCCACCCTCATAACTGCATATGCTGTAAGGGAAAGGGTGTTAATTACAGCTAGGTATACTTCATTTGGCAGTGAGCCTTCCTTTCTTGGAGCAAGTAACTGACGTATCGTATTAATAGAGGCGGTATAAGTCAGTTTACAGCAGCAAATATACTCTCCATTTATTGCAAACGCTTATTTCACTACCACCGCGCATTAAAGCAATATGTTGGACTCAGTTTTGGGCATGGGTTGGTAAGCTTTCTTCAGGTAATCATGGAAGTATTGTAGCTGTGCATACTAACTCAAACTGTAAGGGTGGTATCCATTCCTGTTCTATTGCTCGGTTTGGATTGGAGAAATATCATTGTATCAAGAGGCTTCTAAATCGGATATCCCAAGATCACAAGATGTACTGACCCATTTTCGCCGGTTGGGTAGCTTCGCTCTTGTGTTGTTTGCATCCATTCTGTTGCCCTTGGTTTGCTCCACGGAGAGTCTGAAAAGCACTCTCAGCCCTACAATCACATTTACTATCGGACGATATTTTAAGAGAATACACCTCTCGTATCCAGATCTTGGAACTGCTTGGATGATTTCACACATTGTATTCGCAGGTACAATGGTGTTATCCCCGTTAACAGGATCAGCTGGATTTGCAACGTTTTTAGTGGCACTTTATGGCATTCCTTGGGCGATTGCATGTTGGGCACCATTTACATTCATTGGCGAAGAAGTTAATCGTCTTTGCGTTCCGGTGACATCAAGGGACGTTACCATGATAACATCTGCAACCTACTCTCGTCGACATGGTTCCTACCGTTCTTCACCCAGAGACCATGGTCCCTCGGATGTAGAACTAGATGACGGCGTTTTGATGTTAAATCACGGTGATGGCAGCGATAGTGAAGACCAGGGCGGCGAAGTGCCAAATGCGAATATTTCAACTGGGGAATTGGCAGGATTATATCTTGAGATCCTAAACATATATACCACCCTTCCCCAGTTATTCAGCATGCTCGTTAGCTGGGTAATCTTTAGAGCGTTCGAGCCAAGTCTCGCGGTCCCACTGGTGACGCAGGCTGTTTCAGTGAAAGACCAGTTTGTAAACACTATAGGCGTAAATTCCGGCAGCCCCAATGCCTCTGGATTACCTTTATTCATTGGCGCAATAAGCGCCTTACTTGCGGCTGAATCCACACGGAGGCTGAAGCGAACCCGGTAGAGCATCCCAATTCTCTCCCAGATTATTCATTTAATGTTTATCTGCCTAATCAAGTGAACCGTGGACATGTATGATATATTCGGAAGCTCAGGCTATTTCTACAGGCCTATCAGGACGTTATAACTTGTAAGGTATAATTATTTAGCTAATAGCAGGCTCCTAGTTAGGTAGGCCGCCGTTTAACAAACTGCTCCAAATCCTCTCTGGTGGCAACTCCGAGAACAAATTTGCGACTAGCATCAGTAACTACTGCGAAATCCTGTCTTTGTGCCTCTTTACCCGGTTCAGCAGGATGTAGCTTGCCGTCAAAAAACTTTTCTAGCTCTTCAAGGGGCGTATCCATAGTTATAATTTGATAAACACGGCCTCTCCGTCGAAATTTCAGCATAGCCTTCTCAACTGGGTCGGATTCGGATACTACTCCCGATTTTAAGAGAGACTTAAGCCGCGGAATAGAAAGATAACCAAGAAGAGAGCGAGAATCTGATGATATCACAGTCAAGTGGGTGTAATCGCGCTCATATGCCGAAAGTAGTGCAGATGAAATGAGATCGTGAGGAGACGTAGAGAGTGCAGGTGGTGGGTCCAAGTCTTCAACAGTAGCCTGCAATATTGTGGCTAGTATCAGTAACGAGTTGGGGTAGTAGAACATGGCAGTACATGAGAATGTTGTTGATAGTAGGGGGTATAATCTTGAATACACCGAAGTCAAGGGCGATACATACCCCTCTATATCTTCCAGACCATCCACTAGAGGAAGTATTAGAATAGGTATCCTTTGTAGGAGTCCTCTCGCGTTCGTACGCTTGGCTCGCAGAGACGTAGGAAGTCATGGTTATCAGTCTAAAGCATACGCCAGAAATAAAGGTCAAGTATCGATAGCTGTATTTGAAGAAAGGCCTGATGGTGCGAGAACCCGGCGGCCACAGAATGTTGTGTTTTTACTTCGCGTTTGAGCTTTGCGGGATTGACAGTTTAGTAAACTACCTATGGAACCAAGCGCGACGCTTCGGCTTCGGTGATGAAATTGGCAGCAAACACCAAGCACGTGATCATCCTTTTAGGTAACAAGGTTAGATTGAAAGTTTTAACGTATATTATTCCCGGGTTTAACTAAAGCTTATTACTTATATCCGAGCCACCTTGAGCTGTTGTGCACACTACGTCATCGTATGTGGGCGATGTTGGAGAGATACATATTACTTGCTTTCCGCCGCTTCCGGACAAGCAGGATACAAAAAAATTTACCGCCTTACTCTTCCAGAGATTTACTCGGCTGTGTACACAATTGTCCGCAGCCATACGCTATACACAGGTTAAGGTAAATTTCTCAATGAGTATTGTTGGAGAAGAAAGGCTTACGTCTGATTGCTCTTTGCGCATACGAAGCAGGAGTCAATCGCATCTACTTCCTCCCTCCGCCTACGTGTTTGATTGCCTATGCTCAGGGTGAGCTGCACTTCAACTTGTTATCAAACTCATTATCTTACCATTACATGTAACTGTTAACGACGACATGGCTCCAGTGCTGATAGTCTGGTAATTGCCAAAGGATGTCTTCGATATTCCCAGATAGCTTGTTCAGCAGCGAAGCTTTTGTACAGCATCCCTATTCGAAACGTGGGCTATGCCCCGGAGCAACTGACTCCCCCAAAAGAACACCTTTTCCAGCCTGGAGTGTTGCCGAGGATGTTAAAAGGAATACCAGGCCTTCCCAAGAAGTTGGTAGTACGGGCTCCAAGGGATCAGGCCCGGCTGGGAAGATCGAGCTGTACTCTGGAAAGTATTATGCATCTTGCATAGCGGGAGGCATACTTGCTTGTGTATGTGGGATGATCTTGATACACCTGATGATCCATGTTTGTCCACAGCCTATTAAACACCACGAACCACTAAACCTCGTGTTCTTTTCTTTCTATTTCTTTCTCTTACAAAGCATCGGCCCAACCGCCAGGATGGAGGACGGATTGCTTACGGAGAATGTATACTATAGGGACTAACTCATGCAGCCGTGACCCCGCTAGACCTAGCAAAATGTCGGCTGCAGGTGGACCCAACGATGTATAAAGGCATTATTGATGCATGGGGCAAAATTGGCCGCGCCGAAGGTCTTCGAGGAATTTTCACTGGATGGAGTCCAACTTTCTTTGGATATTCGGTATGTAGATAAACACAAAAGGACAAACTGCGTCATGGCGTTTTCAAGCTCTAACTCATCGTTTTAGGCCCAAGGAGCGTTCAAATACGGCGGATATGAATTTTTCAAGAAATACTATTCTGACCTACTGGGAGAGGACATTTCTAGCCGCTGGAGGACACCAGTCTATCTCGCCGCAAGTGCATCTGCAGAATTCATTGCTGATGTTGCTCTCTGTCCATTCGAAGCTGTAAAGGTGCGAATGCAGACTACCATCCCTCCGTTTGCAAGAGGGACATTCACTGCCATTTCGCATGTTACCGCCAAGGAGGGCAAAGCTGGGTAAGACTTAGAATGCCAATAACTAGCTGCCAGGAATATAATTCAACTAATGTGTCGAGTATAGCCTTTATAAAGGACTCTATCCACTCTGGGGTCGACAGATACCGTACACTATGATGAAATTTGCCTCATTCGAAAAGGTTGTTGAGATGATATACAACTATCTCCCTGGCAAAAAATCAGACTATAATAAGGGAGCCCAGACAGCAGTTGCATTTGCCGGAGGATATGTGGCTGGTATTCTGTGCGCAGCCGTATCCCATCCCGCAGATGTGATGGTGAGCAAGCTCAATGCCAACCGTTTACCAGGAGAAGGCTTTGGAGCCGCCATGGGACGCATCTATAAGCAGATTGGCTTCGTAGGTCTGTGGAACGGCCTCCCTGTGAGGATTGTGATGGTCGGAACCCTGGTATGTACCTTCTCTGCTTGAAGCACCCAGCAAGCACCATCCGGCGTTTGAATATTTCGCTAATGCACTGTGTTCTCGATACCGACGCCAGACTGGCCTTCAATGGATGATGTAAGCTCTTCGTTTCTTTTTCCGCTCCCTCGACACCCTGCCCTTCTGATGCTAACCGCGTTTCGCATGTAGATACGATTCGTTCAAGATCTTTATGGGCCTGCCAACGACTGGTGGCCCGGCTCCCGCCAAGCAGAAGTCCTGAAATAACTATATTAAATTATTTTATGACTATAAATCCTCGCAGCTGGTTAAAGCCGTAACTACCGCTGACTCATTAGTTAACTAGGTAGATAGTTATTAATTTCACAAAAGGTCATTAACTGTCAGCTTGACGCCGTTTCGGTTTTTTGCCTGGCTACTGTAACTGCCTTCAGCTTACTCCTTTAGACTCGTAGCCAGCTAGTTAACTAACCGTCAAATCCTTCTTCGCAGCGACCCTAACCAGACCCCCTGATTCCATGTCCCCGAGCCGCGCATCAATGAGACCGGGGCTTCTGGACTCTTGGGGGCCCCAGTTAGTTAATTAGTTATATTAAATAACTAATATGGAGCCAGCATCATCAACATGTGTTCTTGTTCTGGATCCCACTCGCAGCCATGGCTTCAAACAGCTGAGATCCAACCAAGCCGCGCCCTCGTAATTTGACAAGAAAAAAGTCAGCCCGCCCCAAGTTGCTCGTTAGCAAGCATTATTGGTGGAAGTTATGGAACGACCTCAACTCCCGAAAAATCCGTACCAATTAACTACTTACGGGCAGTTTTCCCGCTCCCTTATCTCGTCTGCCCCCCTTTGAGGGTCCGACACATGGGACGGAAGCTATTTTGACACCTTCCGGAACGAACGCTAGTCACCACGCGATCCAACAAGGCAGGTAACTAGCTAGTTAACTAGCGGACGGTTTATCTCATGTGTGATGGCCAGGGACCAGGAACCATGACGACCGCGGGTTCCGTTCCATTACTTGCATATGGGGCGAGTATCACAGCGGGCTCGTAAGTGAGGTATGCCAGCGCCGCAGAGTAGGCGGGGCTCTCTGTATCTTAATAATATTAGTATATCCACGGTGCATCCAAGGCATATGCAATCCAACCTAGTCTCACGTTTTCCTTGGGGTGGCTTTCGACTCCCCACTGCAACCACCAACACCAGCACCCTACCACCCGTGCAGTTATAGGCGAAGGATGCAGTTACCCGTGTCCATAATTGAGTGTGTTATCATTCCTTGGATGGCCTCCTTACGCTGGACCCAAGACCCTAGAAAAGCGGGTGAAATTGAATCCTCTGAGTTTGCACTCTGCTCGACTAACTATAAATAATGCCGTATCATTGCCCCTTAACGGCTGATGCATCCCCTTTGTTGTAGGCTGATTATATCACTACACCATAGCCCCTTGGTACATCCCTTTCCACAGCCTCAACAATGCCGGCGGCAGAAGTAAACACTCCAGCTCTCCCCGACTACGTTCTGGACCCTGATGCCGTTCTCAAGGATGATATCTGCTGGCGGTATGGACGGGCACCGGACTACTCGAAAACACGGAAAGAATGTGAGGGAGGCATGTATCTATCATATACCTCCCCCTCCTAGCTTGTCGACTTAAACAACAATACCTAACTAGTTATCTAACACAAACCACGGTTCTATAGGGAGAAAAACGAACCACGAAGCTGGCAGCCTCCCCAACTTGGTCGAAAACCTTGTAAAGAACTGGGAAATCGAGGCATCGTTCAAACCGAATTTTGCCGATTGGCGTACTGTTGACCAAGAATGCTATACTTTCTCCGTGAATGGCGGGCCAGCCCAGTCTCCGAACCATATGCTCTCAGTGGGAACATACAATGCTATTATCCCTTCTAATGCATATTATGACCCAAAGCACTCCGACTTCGCAAAGAGCCACAAGACTTTTAAAAGGATGATGCCGACGTTTGCATGGGAAGTGTTGGAGGTGTATAGCGGTCCACCTGTAGTGGTCTTCAAGTGGCGGCATTGGGGAAAAATGGCCAACGACTACTCTGCGGTCAACGAGTAAGTTATCCTTCAACTAACTACCTACTATTGTCTTACTGCTTCTTCTCAAAGAATAAGAACTGGAGGCTTACTATCTCTGCAAAAATGAAGCAAGGGAGAGAACGTTACGGTCAAGGCACACAACGGTGCGATAGACATTGAGGGACTGGTTGTTGCAAGGGTGAATGACAGCCTTCAGATCCAGTCAATTGAAGTATGGCAGGACCCTATGGCCGTGTTCGGGCAGATTGACCCGAAGGGAGAAGCGCAAATCAAGCCGCAGAGGGAGACGGAGTTATTGAATGATGAGTCCAGTAGCAAAATACAAGTGCCACAATGTCCTATTGCTCATTAACCGACAAGGGATATATAACTCTTGACTCTGCTTAATGAGATGTGCCTTCTCAAGTTTGACCTTTAAAGTGTGACAATACTCTCCTAAACAGGAACAATGAAAAAGAAATGCTTCTTAGATTGATTGGTGATAGATGATGTGAGTCTAATAGTGACGAGTTGCAAGCATACTTTAATTAAGACACGTAGAAATAATTTCAGTTAATACAGGGGCTAGATAAATACAAATGCTCTATGAACTGATATGTAACGTATTATTATAAGTTATTCACCTTGAATTGCCCATCCCCGCATGCGATCGCGCCTTCTCGTTCCCACCTTTGCCGTCAGAAAAATTTTCTTCTTCTCCATCCCGCGGGTCTGATCCTTCTTCAGCGTTATATAGAGTTTCCAATTCAGCTTCATCAGATCGAGGAGCAGACTCGACGTCCATTCTTCCACGTCGTTTGCCCCTAAAAGTCGCAAGGCTCGCGGAGCTGAAGCTCTCAAGATTAGGGTAGATACCCTTGTATTCCAATCCTTTCTCCCGCCGTTTGGATCGCCAGATGAAGAATCCCCATAAAGACGCAGCAATGGCGACCACGACTAGGGCAACTTCACCAGACTTATAATAGGCTTCCCAAGCAGCAATTTTAATCCTCTCCTTCTCTTTCTCCTCGGCAGTGGTACTGTTTGGATGAGCACCGACAGACGTCGGAGCTCCTTTCAAGCCATCGATCCTGGAGTCCGCTGGATCCCCTCCGATGCTGGTGATATCAATTCCTAGGAAACGATCCAGCATATCACGAGAACGGCGGGGGAAGTCAAACGGGACCATATGGCTGGCATTGTAAAATTTAACATAGGTCAAGTTTCTGGCCTGCTGGTATATGCCAGCTGCACTTCCCTCAAATTCCCAATTGTGGCGTGGTGCCCAGACACCTGGAGAAAGTTCAAAGCCTGTAGCGTTCAACCATGTCATGTTATGTATCAAGTCTTCTGTACCTATGTGGTTACAAATCAAGTCCTTGTCACCACTAAACAGCACTATCGGCATTCCTCGTTCGAGTAGGCCTGGCAGAAGTTGGACGGATGGTACTGATTCTGTAGCCCGTAGATTTCTCCCCACTCCAGGCGAACACTCACGCCAGCCTGTGGTTTTGTCCTCGTTGATATTCAAAGCCTTTACAACATCCGGTCGGCGAAGGTACGAGGTAACGAGAGAAATATCCGGAGGCCAATTCATCCCGCAGGCGTCGGGGGTATCTTGGAGTCTGACATCATACATGTTAAGGCATTTCCCGTCGACCTTTGTGGTGTCCAGAATTAATTCCAACACTCGTTCACACTCATCCACGTGGACTCCGAATTTGCCTACTTCCTTGAGTTTAAACATGCATTTTGACAATTGGGACTCTGCATCCTTAGCTCCGTCAGATTCCCTGTCCAGGATACCTTCTTTATACGAAAATGGTAAATAGGAGCGGTATTGCTCAAGTGGGGAAATCCAGCCGTTTCCGATCAAAAGACCTTGCACATTCCAAGAAGTGCCGTTAGCGGAAAGATTTTCGTTATGTCGGACAATAGCGTCAGCAATATAAGGGATATATTGACCAGCATACGATTCACCGGCAATATAAATCTGTAGCATTTCTCATCAGTTCACATTGAAGGGGAGAGCATAGATCTAAAAAAAAGAGAAAGTCACATACGTCATCCTTTTCATATTCGGGAAACACATTAAACCACCTTTCCAAAAAAGTGACAAATTGATCGGCCATGGATCCAAGTTCGCGGACATAGCTGTCTGTACTGACATAACTGAATCCAGTGCCTACTGGCTGATCCACGAATAAGAGGTTCGCAAACTCATCCCATGATCCATTGTTATAAATCAGGGTATGGTCATCCTGGAGTCTGTAAGGGCCAATTTCCATCAAGGCGCCATCCATCGAGCTGCATCCAGGGCCTCCATTTAGCCATATTACGGTTCTCTGGCAATTCGCTATATGGCGATTTTGATAGTGCCAAAAGAATAGGTTCCCCTTGCGTTCAGGATCGATCTCGATGTGTCTGGTACGCACAGAGAGATGGAAATATTAATAACAAGCCAGCTCATATTGAAAGGGAGAAACGGATAAGAGATAATGTATACCCAGCATGCATCTTCAACAAAGGTCCCTCGGGCTGGCCTGGAAGAGAGTGAACAAAGTAATCGGAAGCACATTTTGCTAGAACAGCCGCTGGATTGGAGAGTAACAGCAGTAGCCAGGCCCAGCGTGCTCGCGTGCTGCCGGTCAGCGTCTGGTGAGATTGGCAACGCATCTTATGTATAGTAGGCCCCAGAGCCCCAAAGACGCATGATCGAGGCCCGATAGATGGACAGTACCTCTATTGAAAAGAAGCAGACAGAATAGACAGGCTGCTGAATGAAATCCCAGCCTGATGTTCGTCAAGACGTTTCGTACGTCCAGATGTTGGAAATAGAAAACGACGTTTCGACTTCCTGCAGGTTGCGAGAGCCGAGGATGATTATATAAGCAGCCCCTTTCCCTCGCCGCCTCCCCTGAATCTGGTCTTTGTACTTACGGCGCTGCCTAGGCAGTTTACTACATATATACTCTATCGTTCCATTTTTATTCTATGCATTCCCTAGCTGTGGTAAAGACGTGTTAAAGTAAATCTCCTATCGCCTTGTCTGCGTCTTCCTTAATAAGAGCTGGCATGCTCTACATTGTTTGGACACGCCGTGTCAGCTAAAGTGTAAAGCCGGGGAGAGAGAGAAGAACGTCCGCTCACTTACATCTGGCATGATTGGCGCTCCATCGGGCCCTTTTACATAGCGAAAGGGCATCTCAATAGATTCACGCTTGTCAATGCGGATCTCGGGGAAGTCCAGCCAGGGAATCTGGCTCAATGGCACTGGGGGCAGTTTTTTTCGTCTCAACTGGCTGCAAAAGAGCAAAAGAGGAGGCACACTCCTAGAGCTGCTGGCTTCTCATACCTTTGTCCTGGGTAACAATTCGTGTCACTCTGACAGCGGTGTCAGTTGTCATCTGCTTGGGGCCCAATTGGCGAGTGGCATAGCCCTTCTTTCTCAATTCAGAGGTCCGGTCTCCATGCGATTAGGTTAGCCTGGCATGGCCTCATAATTGATTGATTCCAAGGAACTCTGTGCTCATTCGGGGAATAGTAGTTTGAAATTCTAGGCTGGTGAGATCGAGGAGCGGTGATTCGACATTTGATCAAAGCCAGAATCACCATGTTAATTAACTCACCTCGTGGCGGATGGTCCCCTAAATTGAAAGGCTTCTGGTCAGCAAAAAAATACTACGCCTTGAAATCGGATACATGTTTAACTGAATGCATACCAAGGATGCCGCCAAACAGGAACACCTGGAAAGCTGTGCCATCAGCAGGCGACAGTTCGGTGATGGCGGCGGGATCCAGGAGACAGACAGCTGGCTTCTTGTCTGCAAAAAGCTCCTCCACGCTCTGATGCTCGACGGCCAGGTTGTTCTGCGACACCAGGTTGTGTGGCAGGCGCAGCGACTCCGGGACCGAAGTGAGCATGAACTTCGCCCCGACTTTGTCCAGCTCTTCGGCAATGCACTTATATTCCAGCGCCGACCAGGGGCCCAGTTCTGGGTCAAGGTGCTCGACGACGAAGGTAAGGGGTATCTGCTCGGCCATGTCTGCCACAAGCGCCTTTTTGGAGGCTTCCTGCTGCAATGAATAACTATTCAGACAGCTAGCTAGTTAGTTACAGCGCGTGTGTGCGCGTGCGCGTCAATCCAGTCAATTATCGAGAAGAGATCTCTAGCAGCTAACCCTCTAAGCAGATATCAGAATTTGGCCAGCTGCCGGCTATCCAGGGCCGTGAGTGTGAGTGTGAGTGTAGTTGGATAGTTTGTCCACCTTAGTTATCGATTACTGCCGCCAAGTTCGTTGGTGGGACGGAAGTCTTATCTTCTGACTTCTTAGCCGGGCGCGCCAGCAGGTGATGTCAGGAAGACATAACAAGAACAACAACACCCAGGGACTAGAATCCCAGACCGCTGCCGCTCTCCCGCTTCTCCTGCTGCTCACTACTGCGACGAATATTTGAATGAAGGCTGCTGCTAGCCTAGCTATCTGAATCTTTCCAAGGCCACCATCGCCGCCGTCTCTCCCACGCCCGGTCGCCCCTCTCCTCTCCTGCGCCTTAATACGCCAGCAGTGCCTGGGACTGACCTCCTCGCCCACGATGAACCCTCACCAGCAGAACAAGATAGATATAAACGTGAGCCACCGTTTCCACAGCTAAATACTTGTGGAAGGACTTGTTTTTCCATGGGCTCTATGCTAACTGATGTGGACTCCTCCTGTAGTCGCTAAGCCCTGACGAGCAGCGGCTCCTACGAATGTATGGCAAGATGCCTAATAAGAAAGATCTCCTGCAGAACAAGCTAAAGGTACACCGTCCTGAAAGTGTCCCCTTATCGTTCCTCCTCTTCCCTGTCATAATGTATTTTCATTTTCCTATGTTCTGGTTTGCTGACTCTTCAAACAGGAAAGAAAATATTTCGACTCCGGAGATTATGCCCTGAGCAAAGCAGGAAAGGCCTCGGACGTCACCTCAATCGGCTCCCGTCACCCTCTGCCAGAGAATATTCCACATCTCACGGCATCGTCCCCACCTCAGTCCACCGCTACCCCAAACCATTTCAACGGAGGCCATGGTCCCGCGCACTCTCACTCTGGCGGAGCAAATAGTGGAATGTCCCCCGGCATGGCCCGTAGCCCTATAAAGGAAGGAAGTTTCCTACAGCGACAGACCAGCATAGAAGACGCCAGTAACGAGGAGGGATCAAACAACGATACAGGAGAGAATCAGGGCTGCCCGGAGACCAGGGAGCCCCAGGGCTCGAAACTATCAATGTCAGAGAGTAAGACGGAAGAGACAGAGGACTCCTTGTTGCATGAAATCCCTATTCGACGATAGCCTTGGACCTCTAGAGGCTCGTGATGTTATTTCATTGATTCCCGACCGCGCAAGAAGCCAACTCAGTCAGTCAGGATGATGCTCTCCCCATCAGCTCATGGTTTCCAAACACCCATATCTGTTTTGTTCTTCGTTCTTCTCGTTAGCCTGCCCTTGACATCTTCTTGAACGAGGACATATTTGATCCGTGTTGTAGTTGGCATCCTACATTTCTCTCTCTCTCTCGCTCTCTCTGCGTGTGTCTGTCCATGGTTTTTTTTTTCCCTTTATTTTTCCTTTATTATTTTCTGATTTTTTTTTTTTGTTATATTATTTTATTATATTAGGGGGATAACAGCCTCATAGTTTAACTAGGTAGTTAACTCACAATTAATTTGTGCACAACCTAACTATTGCTCAGATAGGTTACCAGCTCTATTTATATATCTTTCTTCCTCCTTAAAAGCTGATTGACTACTCATTTGCTTCAATAGTTGGAGTTATTAGTTAACTAGTTAGTTTTTAGCAGGTAGTTAACGGACCTATATAAAGATCCTGGAAGCCACCAGCCAGCGAAGTAACTTAGCTAGTTACTGTCCTCTGCCCTCCCTAGCAAAGATCAGTTACTGTGAGGCTCCCAGATAACTCGAGCGGCTGGTATTTGGTAAATACTTGGGCAACTAACCAGCCAACTAACTAGTTAAATAGCTTTTGCTAACTAACTAATAATATTATTGATTTAACCAAGACAGTTCTTAAGTCTTGCATCCACCCCGCACAGAGCCTGACTATTAGCTAAGTAGTTAGTTAATATCAACCAACTAGTTAAACACATAAAAATAACAATTATCTGACCTAACTAACTACCTAGGTTTAACCACACCCACCCGCACATAAACCTCTCGGCAGTGTAAAAGCGGTCAACACGCTGTCAACTTCTCGGACTCAACCAAGAGCAACCAGCCTGGCCAGACGACAGGGCTTCCAATCTTCTCCTCGCCTCATCGCATCTACCGTCTGCTCTGCGCCTTTCGCCGATAACTAGTTATTAAAGCTAACGAATAGTCAACTAACGACACGTCTCATCCCTTTTACCCGACCACGGCAACGAGCCCTAGCTTAACAGCCTGCTGCCTCCGTTTTCGCTTCCTCCGCGCGTCGTCTACGCTCTACGAACGTCAGGACAAGATGATTTGAATTGACAAGAAGCACCGGGAATCCTGACCACTCACGCCAGCAACGGCCAGAAACGAACACGGCTCGGGACTCTGGAGTAACATTAAGCTACTTATTCGAGCCAGCTTGTTTACTAGATTGCCTTGACTGATCGAGCTACCTGTCGTCGATATCTAGCCCTCTATACCACTTGATATCCTGGACGCCTTCCCCTTGGAACCACTAAGCTGGCCGCAGTATACTGTCTGTCCATGTGGATCTTTAGAATATTCTCGTCAGTCCTTTTTCTTTCCGCCGTGGTTCTCTCCATACCACTCGCTTTCGATGTAGGAGGAAGAACCTGCGGTTTAGCCTTCTCCCTCTCCCTCTCCGCGTTTTACTTCTTCCTCTCACTCCTCAAACTTACTACCCCGAGGAGGTCGATTATCCGGAAAACTTGCATCTTTTTCATTAGCTCTACCCAATGGCTAATCGTTCCCGCGTTGTTAATATGGTCTCTCAATCGGTTTTCCGTCGAATCAAACGGGTCTAGAAGCTGGGTAGAGCGGGCGTTTACAACCCTTAGAGCAAGTAATAGCTCGGTACGGCAATGGGTGTTTGGACAAGATGGCTTGCTGGAGGCTGCTATCCTTGGCTTCTGGGACAAGCTGCTGGTTTGGTCTATGCCCGTATTCCAGTTAGCGGAAGGCTTCTGCAGCCTGCTTGTTATTCAAGCTTCGGGACAAGTTACTAGATATCTAGTGAATAAGAGTGGGAGGAGCGATAGCTGGATGGTATGTATTGCTTGCCTCTTCACGGGCATACGCTCCCTCTTTCAATGGTCCCGGCTAACACCCAACCTTCTCAGATTGGATTACTTGTCTTTTCAGCTTCAATCATATCCAGCTCGCTGTACTTTCTCTGGCGTGTCTTTGGGCTCCCTGGAATCAGCAACCTCGACTCAACGCTCATAGGAGTGTCCATCACTTGTGCCGTCTTCCTTTGCGCGTGGGGCATAGGTAGTGGGAGAGGCAATCCTGTTGAGAGTTCTTTATTGTTTGCATACGCCGTGCTCTGTCTATACCAAATTTTTACCGATTATAAGCCTTCCGGATCAAAGGAAAAGCCAAATTCTACAGCCCAATCACTCGAGTTTCCTCCATTGCCGCCTATCATTATGGCATCCTATACGACTCTGATGCATACCATTTCGGCTTTGCCTTCGATTATCCATACGTTCTTTAGTGTGGTAACGGCAGCCTTCAGCGCGATAACCCCATCTGTGCTGATCTCGCTCATCTACCGTCTTTTCGTCCTCTATGCATCAACCCGGATTATACCTGTTGTACGAGAGTCAGGTGCTCGCGCATTGTCTCAGGAAGCATCTCTGGAAGATGCGGATGGTGCAGGCAAATTTCTCGGGCTCTTAAGCTGGTTTTCGCCTTCAATCCTTATAGCGGTATACACCAGTCTGCTTTTACAGCACTTTACATCGATGTCGCGAATGGCAGACGAGGATTTAGAGTGGTGGAAGATACAGCCACTAGGAAGCGGGAATACATGGAGATGGGTAAATCTAGCATGCACAATGGCATTATACGCAGTTGAGTTATGGCTTGGAAGACAAAATGATATTGATGAAGGATTAACAAATCACTGGAAAAATGATTAATATATAAAAAAGAATTTAAAAATAATAAATCAAGTAATATTTATTTAATAAAAATATAATTTATAAAAAAAATATATTTTAAATAATAATAAAAAAGAAAAAAAAAAAAAAAATTGAAAAAGACACTTTATAATAGAAAATATTATTTAAAAAAAGAAAAAAAAGAAGAAAAAAAACTCTACTAATAGCTTTATTAAAAAAAAAAAAAAAAAAAATTTAAATAATTATTATCGAAGCATTAGTAAAAACTATTATATTTTAAATAATTTAAATAATTAATTAAAATATTTAAATTTATAGATTCTTAAAAAATAGCTATAAAATAAGTAATTAAGTAAAATTCTTACTTTTAATTAATTATTAGAATAATATATATTTAATAGTTTAGTAAGGATAATTAAGCCTTTATTAAAATTATTATTAATAAAATTTTTTAACTTTTTTTTTAGCTTCTTTTTTAACTTTTTTTAATACTATAATAAAGATAATTAAGCTTTTATTAAAAAAATAATTAAGCCTTTATTGAAAAAATAATTAAACTTTTATTAAAAAAAAACTTTAGAAATAAAATTAAAAAAATCAAAAAAATTAAATTAAAAATAAAATATAAATATTTTAAATTTTATTTTAGAAAATTTTTAAATTATTAATTTATTATTTTAAATATTTTATTATTAGAGAAATATTATAATATTTTTTTTTAAACTATTTTAATATTAAAAAAATTAAAATTTAAAAATTATTTATTAAATAAAAAAAAAAAATTTTTTTAATATTTTAATAATTATAAAAATATTAATATAAATAATTAAACTATTATTAAAAATAATTATATTATTAAAAAGCTTTTTTAACATTTTTTAATAGTTTAATAAAGATAAATAAATTATTATTTAAAAAAAAATTTTAAAAATAAAATTAAAAAAATTAGAAAAATTAAATGAAAAATAAAATAAAAATATTTTAAATTTTATTTAAAAAAATATTTAAATTATTAATTTATTAATTTAAATATTTTACTATTAAAAAAATATTATAATATTTTTTTTATAAATATATATATAATAATTTTATATATTAAAAATATATTATATTTAATCTTTATATTATAAATTAACTATTATAAAAAAAAAAGAAAAAAAAAAAAGCCTCTTCTATAGCTATACTAAAAAAAACTATAGAAATTAACTCTAAAATTATAGTAGAAAAGAGTAGTAAAAATAGAGTAAAAACTT